TATTCATTTCCCCTCATAGTATGCAACTTTGTTACGCTTCTCAGTGAAGGGACCTCATGACTGTATTTCTGTTACTCAAAATGCTTCCATGATTTGAACCGATCTTTTGGACACTCTCATACCAAATTCTAAATTAATATGTTGTAAAATAATCTCACCTCAAAAATTGAAGAGAAACAATGCCAGGCTACTTATGCAATAACTACTCTAAACTCCCTTTAAAACTAGTCATTAGCAGAAGCAAAATGAACTCAAGTAGCTGACCTTGTGGATCTCTCTTGGGCATATTAAATTACAAAAAAATAAACAACGGAGGTAGTTATAGATTTTTAACACAGTCCACAGTTCTAAATTCCATGGAGACGATGAAGTTTTTTAACCGTCTTAACATTTTCTTAACCTTCCAGTGTATCTCATGTATGCTTATTAAAAATGGACTCCAAATACATGAGTTATATGATGTCTTCATGCTGCCCAAAGAAATTTTTGTCATAAAGTCAAAATCTCACAGCATAAAATACTCTGCGGAGGCTAGGAAAAAATGATGGAGAAGATTGTTATGCTAAATATCCCTTTCTGACTTACGTCCTGATGCAAGAACCTCTTCTAGAGTATAAAGATAAATCCATGGAGAAATCCAATAATTCCATCTTAAATGCACAAAATGTGGCCACAATTTTGTAAAGAATCATTAGGACTGATTGACTTGTTTGATCCATGAGGACACAATATACCAAAGCCAGGACATTGCCTGATGAAGCCTAATCATCTCGCGTGGACTGTTCCCAAAACCCTCCAGAGAGAAGGCATCACAGTAGAGACGTAGTGGCTGCAACATTCAACACACACTGGTGGGGAACATTGTAGGATGGCAAAGAATGGGGTCACTTCACGGCTTTTTTACAATGAACAAAATCCCATAAAAATCTGTAAAGGTGGCATATGAACTGGATGCCATCTCTAGGAAACATGTTGTGTATTTCGAAAAGGATTTAAACAATTGCGATTTCCCTGTGGGTTATGAGTATGTACTAGTTGTAGTATTTTTACTGTTTTACCTGGGCTGAAGCATTCTTTTGCCAAAAAACCTCAACACTCATGATAGTCAATAATCAACTTGATGCTGTTTACTACCTGTGCCTTTCAGTGTATGTCTGTATAGGGGAGCAAGTTTCTTCGGAACAGTTT